CTCCCGTTTCCTATTTTTTTTTCCTTTTTCCTTTTTTTTTTTTTTTTTAGTGTGTCATCGCGATACCACCTGTTTTCGAATTGTAACAAATTTCTGAGAACGCAACGTTGTAATTGAACAAAAAAAATGAAGGTTAATAGAGCGTGTCAAGTTTTGTAACGGCACGTTCGTGGCACGAACAAAGGAAATCCACGCAGAATTTTCTCACCTTTACGGGAACTGGTCTATCAACGGCGACCGGGTATGGTCTTGGGACTGGATATGGCACAGCGACGGCCTTTTCCTGGACAGCAATCGCGACTTTTCCATGTCCTAAATCACCACCGAGCAGACCATCGCCCAATCCCAATCCTCCCAAACCGTAGCCCAAATTTAGCAGGCCACGCTTTTGGACTGTCTTTTCTTCGGCGGCGAACGCCATGGAGATCAGCATCAAGCATACCTTAAGCGTAAAGAATGCAATAGAATTAACAGATAGGAAAATGATTTTTCGAAGGTCTCTATCTGAACGAGACCGAATTTTCACCAAACGTTCACAGAAACTCGTCCTATAATTACGATCACTGACTGCTCTCGAGATCACAGGAGGAGACGAACTTTACGACACGGAGTTTGAGTGAAACGTACCAGGGCCCTCATGGTAACCGATCGGCTAATACTTTGGCTAGTGTGTCTTGACTGGTAAATTAAATTGGTTCTGTCGCCTTGGAGGAAAACCACCCTTTATATAGGGAATTCACTTTCATTTCACGCGTGCACCCCGCCAATGAAAAGCCAATGGCCGTTCGGTGTGCTATCGCCACACCTACCATATACTATTTACCCAAGATCCAGCCACATACCGTTACACATTATAATACATAATGTGCACGAGGAGTTGTATAACACGCCAAACGTGAGCCAGTCGGGGCTAGTAAATAGAGCGCGGGCACTTTATGCAGATACATATGCGCGCATGCATTTCGACTTAGCTTCGCGAATCTAACGAGGAGGCACAGCGTCTGCGGCATTTCGATCGGAGGAAACGCGCGATCGTGAGACACTCGGGGATCTGGATCCTTTTCGGTTGTAGGTCGTGCCTTGTTTTGCTCGCATCGGGATTCGTTCGTGACGAATACTCGTGCGCGTTGTGAAAAATCTCTTTGTCGCGTTGCTCGTCCCGTCCTCCAGAGAACGTTTTCCGAGGAACGCTTGGAATCGGTAAAGCTAGAGTACAGTTGGGTTCGAGTCGATCGGAGCAAGTGTTAAAAACCAGGAAACGAAAGAAAATCGTTCGTTTTGATCTGTGGTCTCGATTTTTGGATGCTGCTCTTCGAAAAAGTCCTCTGCCGACGAGACACGATACGAGAAGCTGTCGAAGACAAAGACTGTCGTGTTTTCATAAAACGCGATAATTTTCGACTAATTGAACGACTTCGTAATTAAAGCTACGATTAATTGGATAAAGACGGAGGTACGTGTGGAAAATCATCAGGAAATTACGCAATACTCTTAGATAGAGTAACAACTATTGGTTAACGGAGCAGGAAAGCAAAGAAATTTAATATTCCGAAAACTTTTGCGATCTGGTAATCATTTCCTGATATCGTTTTCCAGTTTATACATAATTTCCCAGCCTCGCCACGGTCTCTTTCTACGTTGATAATCGGCGTAAATCAAATTTTCCGTTTGCGACAAGAGCTCGTCGCATTCCATCAAACGGGTAGAAAAGAGGAAAACCGAAAGCTAATTTCAACACTGTCCAGTCGTTTCGTATTAGAAGCGGAATAGTATTTGATAAATATTCCGTATCATGAAAGTTGTGTGAATATTCATCAACTGTATACATGAGTTATATTCCGCAGCAGTATTTATTTCAAATACTTCTGCATGATTATGTGTCAAACGCATGTTTGCTCGAAGGGATGTTAATGGAAAAATGATCGCGGATCGATTACATCTGGATTGATCTGGTAAATGGTTGTATAATTTAACGATACAGGTATCCAATCGATCAGTTTCCACTATTTTGACCTAACTCAAAAGACACGTAAGAGGGGGTAAAATAAATCAGTTATTGCGCGGTTAACTTTCTGATTGCCCGTCAATTTCTCTACACCCGAGTTCTTATCAGGGGACAATTTGTATCAGACACACTATCGTTAAAGATAATTCAATCTGAATCCAGTTTGACTTGCTCACGGTCCCACGTCCGACGTTAAAGCCCGACAATTTTATTATCGACACGTTGGTTCAGACTCGTACGCGTATCGCCATGGGCGCCAGCTCGCTCCTTATTGTTTCATATAATTAGTTGCGTTTTACATCACGCCATTGTATTTCAAAACCTCGGGGGAAGAAAAAGGTAATAAATAAATTCGTCATTAACGACCCGAAGCTTAGAAAGCGTGACGTAATATATAAGTGCTTCGAACACCTGCCTGATTGATTAAGAACGAAACGGGTGGCTCGGATTATTATCAGGCACGGTCTCGTTGAATTTGAAATAGACGTTTCGCAATGGATTCCTTTGACGCGAATGAAACACGAATCGGTTACCGATCACGTATTGACAATGTACACGGTTCTTTGCTGATTTTACAAATAATCGCGTCTACTCTCCCGTGGCTTTTATTCCCTCGAGGACACTTCTTATGAATCGTTTATCCTTTTAAACGGAACCAATAACGACTCAGTCGTGCATTAAATTACGGACTTTCATTGTCACGGATATATCGTTTTCGTATTCCCTCTTTATTTTTAATTCGGAGTGAACGAAAGGAAATGAACGAGAATAGCGTAATATTTCGTAACGATACCATCGCTTCATGGATACACTGCTTGAGCAATCGTTTGGTTGCAGTAGCGGCGCATTTCGACGAGCCGATTAATTTTACGACGACTTAAATTACCCGCGGTATTAGGCGTAATTCTGGGTATTCCGTCGATCTATCGTGTCCTAGGAACCGTATCCTGTGTTACCATGTTACGCGATAAGGACATGTTCCTTATTACAAAATTCCCCACATAGCTGGTTCTCCTGTGACTCACGCCTGTCGATAACGAATTCCTCCTAAGACACGAACAAGCTCCCTGCAACGATATTGCACGTACGTTCAAAATCAATGCCCGTTATATATCCCGAGAGTATATTATCTTTCTGTCCAGATCAACTGTTCGATAATTTGCGTGGCCATATTTTTCGCTGTTATCGTTTCCGCATTGGTTAATCCATACATTGTACGTATTAATATTCCAGATTTTCCGTTCGTTTATTCGATAGCCTATGCACGAACGAGTAGATCAGCCGTAGATCTAGAGAACGAGTTTGCCATTTCAATATCGAACATGTACCATTGACGTCAGACGTATCGAGCAGTCCGGAGTCGTGCCTCCGACTTCGTCACTCTGCGACAAGGATTAGGAAAAAATTCGTATCATTTGGTCAATCGAGCGGATTAAAATCTCCCTTCTGTCAAGTGCAAACCGCTTGTAGCAGTTCCAGTCTCATAGCAACAAACCACGACTCCAGGCTGCGAAAGATTCGATCCGAAATTTGAATTTCGCCGCTGAAAGGCAGCGTTCTTCCACGGAAATTCGCGAAAGTCTCGAAGCCGTAGACGACCAGTTCGTCGTTGCAAATTTGTACCGTACGACCCGAGAGTTTTCACTTTTTGCCTCATTACGCATTTGCCAGAGTTAATGCCAGGCATTATGGTCATTAACACCTGGTTTTTATAGGCCTCTTCGAATAGAATTCTCATTATCCATAAATACGCGACTCAAAGTATATCGGCTATATTTGCGCTACCTCGCATACGCGATATCTCGCTTTTCCCAACTGTTCGCCACGAAAACGTGCACTTTTGCTGAAAGTCGTAATCCCTCGCAGATCGTATTCTGCGAGATATACGCGTTCTTTAATTACACGGAATAGCACAGCCTCCGGTTTCCCTGGCGTTGTGTCACTTCGTGCTCGCGGTGGTCGCAATTCCTTGTAACCGTTCAACCTGTTTTGTAATTGCTATGAAATTAACGATCCCAATGATTATGCCGGTGTCACGGATTAAGCAACGCTCCTTTTCCCTCCTTCATTTGCGTGTCGCACCTTTCGGCCGTCGCCATACGGACATAGATGTTAAAACCGGACTATCGAGCGTGGCGATAAGCCTGCGACTCTGCACCTCCGATTTTTGCCCCGACCAACGGTGCCAATCGCGGCACGTCGTTTCATCCCCCGAACTTTTACTACGGGGAACAATCGCGACAGGAGAGAAAGACGTAAAGAGCGAGGATCGTTTAAGTCGAGATGTAATATATGAAAGGGCGACACAGGCGACCGGGAGAATAAAAGGATGGATTCCTGTTGGTCCTTTTTCAGCTCTCACTTTCTGCCAGTGGTACGACCACCGGTGAAAACGTAACCGTGCCGCGTTGCTATCAAGATCCGCCTTACGTAAGCCGTGGTAACATGCGACTAAAGCTGGATCGAGGTCCTCGCTCGTTTATTCCGCGTAAGTGTGTCCAGGTTACGAAGTTAACCCCTGCACCGTGGCCTTCCCGCCCCTTAACCTTCTTCTCGAGAGCGGCGTCGTGCCTGGTGAGACTGGTTCCCTGGACATCAATGGAATCGGTGAGGGGTAGCGTCCACGTCGGACACCAGCGGTTTTGGTTACGTGTCAGCTCGTCGAGTCAGATGGGTTTCAAAAGCAGAATCGTGAAACGAAACTGGTTCTATCTGCGTCATAGGTTTGGCGAGATTAGATAAGCGGGACTCGAAGAAGTTTGTTGCCAAAACTTATGTTAGCCAACCGGTGACTAATACGGCTAATTGTTTGGTCGATTCGAATAGCCCAGCGTGTGCGCTGGAAACCGGTAAGTATTGATTGATAAGCGATCTTTGTCCGAGGTTTGGCTGAATTTTAAAGGGAAGAAAGTGCCCGAGTCGTTCGATAAGTAAATTAGTGAATTCGAGTTCGCGAGAGAAATGGTTGACACGCGACAAAACGCATTGACGTAATTGTGCACGGGAACGGTTAGATAGGTGATACGCGATACGTGAGAAATTTTACTGGCAGCGTACACACCCATTTCTACAGGCCGTCGAAACGATTCGGACAACGTATTTATAGATAGGATCCAGTTTAGCCGCGAAACGGATCCTTAACGTTACTCATACAGTGGATTACGTCAGAGATTTAACGAGCTCCGAAGCAATTACAATCGCTATAAAATAGATCTCGGAGACCATTATTCATGGAAAGGCCGTATTGACTTTTCATCGGTGGTGCGTTAATCCAGATACGTTTACGTTTCTTTCTCGACGTATTATCAGCCGAGGTGTCTAAGAAAAATTCGTAACGTCGAATAAAGTTTCTAATTATTTTGAACCGTTTCCCGTGTTAGCTGCTTCGAATGGTTCATTTGCATCGAGATTTAAATTATATGCATGGCGGCAATGTCAGAAATGATACAGCACTCGTGCCCGTGTGTAGTTGATCGATCATGCAGCACGCGACTTTTATCAGCGCCGATAGCCCGCTATAGGCTAGAACCTGTTGACGGTTCAATTTTCTAAGAGGGAGGGTCACCAGCGGTATCAAGGAACAATAGCAAGGCTAACTACGACTGCTAGCCAAGCGCTAATTCAAATCGACCAT